TGACGGAGAATGGCGGTCGTCGAAGGCACGGAAAGGAACAGCCGCTGATGGGGGTGGAGTAGGCGGTGAGTCTTGGGCTGAAGACGGCCGTCACCGCCATGGAAGTGGAAGCTGCCGTAACCATCAGGCCGGGCTAGGGACCTCTGTCGACGTGACTGTGGATGGTAGAAAGAGAGCAGCTCTCCTTGAAATGAAAATGGGGGCGGAGTATTTCACTCTCCTTTTCCTGTTTTCTATCCATATATTTCAGCTACCTGATTGGTCCGTTCCCTATCTTCGAAATCCATTCTCATTCCATCGGGCGTACCTTTGCTTTTTGGACGTAAAATAAGAAAATAATAAAGAGAAAAGTGTCAACTCTAGTTTATTCATATCAAATTCCAGCTAAAACTTCAATTGGGAACCAATTCAAATTAATTCTTGAAGATAACTGAAAAATATGATGTCACTGTCATTTTTTTGTCACTATTGTATGTCACTACCAGTTTTTATGTCACTTTTGCAATGTCACTAACAATTTTCATGTTACTTTCAGATGTCACTGTACCGGAAAACGTGTCAACATGTCGTCAGAAAAAATTCCGGTGACTTTTCCCCATCAAAATTTTCGCCGGAAACTATTACCATGCCGCCTCAAAACCGCCGCCATCGTGTAAGACAACCTACGGGCTACGCCTCCTTACCCCAACCCTGTCATAGCTTCACAGCCCCATCCACTGTCAACCCCGCCACCTAGCCCCCCCCCCCCCACCCGCCACACTTGACCTGCCCTAGCACTGCCCCCCGCCACCGCGGTCGCCGCCCCTACGCCTACCCTAGCCCAGCCCCCCACACCTCCAACTGACGCCAGTGACCTTCTTTCCCACCCCTTCCAGTGACCAGCAACCCTAGCCCTAGCAGACTCCACCAGCCACCCACCAGACCCCAGTCATGACCCACCTAAGCTCCCACCGTCCCTGACCTACCCAGGCCAAACTCAAGCCGCCACACGACCTTCTAGATCTATATCAGCCCAGCTGACAAACACTTTGTCATGGTGTGCCTCAAAATAATACTCAATACAACGATTATACGCAGTATAACGAAGTAAGGTTCGTATCTGTAGGAAAAGAAATACTTCTCTTTTTATGTAAGTAGTAACAAGGGGAATTTAAAGTTGTTGTAGAACTTGAAGTATATTTAAACACTACGTTGAATGACTTATGTGGTTTAATTAATTAGAGATGAGGACTTGGTTTTGCTTATATCCACTTAACAAAATGTTCGTCGATCCCGGTTATATCTTTAACTATCTTTCTCTCGAATACTCAATCGAGGAGTATCTCCATTTCATCAAGGGTAGTTATTAATAACGAGACGCGTTCATTAATAAAACTTACTACTGAGTGAATATAGAACACACATCATATATTAATCCGATAGTAGCAATAAACCTAAGATGAAACTGATTGAGATTAATAACCCCAACACAAGCGATTTACTGTTTTAATCAATATAATTAATTCCCCTGAGATTATTAACCATGAGACACATGCATTAATAATCCAAGTTTACTACCGTGAAAGGACCGAACGATTAACAAGCGTATTTGTCGATTGATTCTAATAATAATTAATATATGAAACAAAACTAGTTGATCTTTTAAGTAATGCTCAAAATATTAATATAAAATATAAATAAGAATTAATTAATATTCAAGGAAGAAGATTAAAGAAAATAATTCACAATTTACAAATCATTTAGCTTCAACATAGCAAAATCAAGATGGAAGAGTTTAGATCCTCATTTGAAGACTAAATATGCTAAAATAGAAAGAAAACTTATCTAAGCTGATCTTAGAGGTGTATGTGAATTGGTGAATTTAATGTGAATTAAAAGAGGTGTATTTATATGAAAATGGTTGCGGCTGGGTCTTTTACTTGAACGGGGTTTTAGGGTACCCGATCGGGTATCCAACAGCTTCCGGGAAATTGGAAAAATCAACTCATACCTGATTGGGTGTGTCGGTCTACCCGATCGAGTATGAGACCAAATCTTCAAATATTTTTATGCCACGATCCTTTGTTTCCCGGATTCGATTTTGACACGCAAATCCGGTCAATACCTGATCGGGTATTGTATATACCCGATCGGGTATATGAAAATTTTTTCAAATCCTTGTTCTGATCTTGTTCCTTTGCACATCTTTTGATCTTTAAGATCCGTTCATTGATCCTTTGAGTGCATTTGACTTGCCCTATGCTCAGAATAGTCCTACTCTAAATAATTTACACAATTGTAAATAAACTAAAACATTACGTGTGTAATTTTCAAACCAATGAATCACAAAACTAATTAAAAATGTAAACATGCAATCGAAAAATACAAAGATATCACCAACCGTCACACGAGCTTCAGGATCCCGATCCCAAAACGAGGAATGAGTTCACCAATCGTCATCTCATCAATTTCTACATCTCGACGCTAGACAGAAAGAGATGAAAAAGAAAGTGAACAACGGAGTTGAGGTGCTGACTTGCAGTGGCGGTGTGGGACGAAGTTTTGGACATGGCTGTGACGGCTGCAGAATTGCCACGGACGCGACCCTGGCAGCTGGTGGAGGCGACGCGGAAGCAGCTGAAGGAGGTGACACGGTGGCAGCCAGTGGAGACAAGAGGCGGAGCGGACGTCCTCGCTGGCTGTGGAGGCGAGATAGAGGTATGCTGTGATGTGGGGAGATGAACAACTTGGGATATGGAGGGATTTGGACTGATAGTTTTGGACATGGAAATTTGGGAGGTCGAACAAGATATGCGAATATGCTACGCGTGCGTAGATCTCTGCGACTTCTCATTCTCACACGGGAGCGGGTCACTTTTTTGTAAAATCAGAAAGTGGACATATTTTTGGAATTAAAAACTTAGGGAGTAATATTAGCGCCATTGGATCATAAAAGTTTTTATCAACTCTTAGTAAAAGAAGTTCCCGCTTGTCGAGCATACCTTTATAAAATGAGAATTTATTTATAAAATGAGAATTTATTTATGAGACAAATGAAGTATTAACATAGTTGCCTATTAGATTCTTTGTTTTTTATGCTACTAGTATATGTACCCGTGCACTGCACGGCAAAATATGCACTTAAAGTTTTTATAAAAATTGAAAGTGAAATGTAAGTGAAATGAATTGTATGTGAATTCATCAATCACGGTTTAAAAGAAAATTCATTCAACTGTGGATAGAGCTGTCGAAAGGAGTCAAAGTCTCCAAGTGGGTAAGAGTTGTCATTTTTTATCCAATGAAGTGACCGGTTTCGTGGGTCAATTCGCACGGGTGAGTAACACAAATTATAAACATCTATTTTTTTTTTACTTTTTTTTGTCTTCAATATTGATGGTTTACTACCAAAATTATTTTGAAATATACTTGTTATTTTACAACCCTTGTTGAACTATTGTTTCTATATTATAATAATTATTCAAATGTTTACTCAAAAGATGTAAATTGCGTCATTTCTACACTGAGTGTTTTTTATAGATACTCCTTCCGTCCCGCTGAGATTCTCTTATCTTTTCTTTTCGATCCGTCCCTCTAACACTTTCTCATACGAAGTACAAAATTAGCTAAAGTTTGTGTGGTATTAAATCATTTTTTCTTAATTTTTATTTCAGCAATTCAACGTCAACCACATAAACTCATTTTTCTTAATAATCGTGTCATCACCTCATGTCCCAATCTTAGTGGGACGGAGGTAGTACAATATAATAGTTATAAAATTTCAGTATACCAATGATTTAAATACATATGTATATAGTATTGGAATACATAAAAGTAGAGTTTTGGAAGTTGAATCATTTTTTCTTGAATTTATTGTCTTGCCACATGTCACTTTTTCATACAAAGACTATTGCCACATGTCAATAATTCCTCTAAAGAGTTCATCAAGGGTTTGCTTTATTATATTATATATAGATTTCATAATTCAGCAATCAAATTTAAAGTATGGGATTTGACTTTTGGCAACTGCGATAAGAGATTACTATATAAATTACAAAATGCATATGACTTCTGCAAGAACTTGAGAAAGAGCCTCACCCAATCTTCATCGGTGATTAAAGTTTAATTTAGATTCTGCACATTAAGGATGTTTTTACTTGGATTGTAATTTGCTGGTCTAATCTGGTATGGTCTGGTCTGAACTAATTTTGTCTAGTCTGGTGATGTCTAGTCTCTGTGTATTTTTGTAACTATCCAAGCCTGACCTGATCTGGTCTGGACTAAAAATAGTCCCAGTAAAGATGTTTTTACTTGAATCGTAATTTGCTGATCTGGTATGGTCTAATCTGGTCTGATTTCTTTGTATTTTTTATAACTATCTAAGTGTGGTCTCATCTGATATATTCTGCTTCAAATAAAAACATTCTTATTGTTTACTTCAAAAACCACTGGTTCAAATTATGGATAAAAGTAAGAAAAATTCCTTTTGTACACGTTTTTGTACCCATCAGTACACGCATGTGTCTGTGAGAGTTTTTTTTTGTCTGTGAAGCGCGGTCCACAGACATAAGTTGGCTTGTTTTGTCTGTGGAAAATTTCACAGACAAAACAAACCAGCTTTTGTCTGTGGACCGCGCTTCACAGACAAAAAAAACTCTCACAGACACATGCGTGTACTGAAGGGTATAAAAACGTGTACACCAAGAATGGTTGTAAAAGTAAATTATTGACTAGGCAAATTCGGATTTGAAATGTCATATAGAATGTGGTTTAATATTTTTCCACCTTAAATAAATAGTCAATATGTGACCACGTCAGCCACATGATATGTGTAACCGGTGGGCCATGATACGCAGGAACCGGGACGCGTAGATCGACTTTCTCTCGGCCACATGTACGGCAGATTTGACGTGTGAATCCGCTGGCACGAATATCCAGGTTCCAGCTCACCATCCAACTATCCCTACACCGTACACTGTTTCCCCCCTACACGTGTTTCGTGACGTGGATGTCGCTCTGTCTTCCCTCTTTGAGAAGGCCATGATGAATAGACAGACTTCTATTTTCCTCCTCCGTTCTCTGGTTTTTGAGCTCTTCTTCCGAAAGAAATCTCTCTTGACGGAGAATTCCGACAGTTAGTTTCGACGATTCGGATATTCTATTCGATTTTGTGGTACGTGGTTTCGCGTGCGAATTTCATACAATTCTCTATTAAAATTCATTCTTATTTGCTTTTTATTTATATTTGTGCTTTTGTTAGCGTTTCAATTAAGGGGGAGCGGAATTATAAACTTACAGTCATCAATTTAGGTAATTAGATTAGACAATTATGTGAATTATAATTATAATCTAGAAATATTCAAAGCTATGAGGTTCATGTTTGTCCGATTATTATCCGGCTTGGGAGTTGTAGTTGGACAATTACGCCCCGAAAGAGCCATCTCGTTTTCCCGGTTATTTCTGATTTGCAATTTTAAAAAGTTTTGATTTTTTTTTTAATTTTCTAGGTCAGTACGGGATCTAATTACTTTCATGTAAAGGGAAAAAATTGCAGTCAAAATTAAAAAGTTTTCTGATTTTATAGTTTTGGTTCTCCGTACCCCAGTACTCGAATTACGAGAAAGTGACAAGTAATTGCGGAGTTTTTTTTCAGGGAAAAGCGGACTGTTGTTTGAATAGTGTCGTATTTGTCTGTTTTTTTAAACTACATATCGATCAAGCCTAGGACCCGAGGACTTCTGGCCATTTTCACACTTTCTGATTCATGGTGGGAGGATACGAGAAAAGCATATCTTTTATGTTTTTTTTTTTATATATACGAATTGAATTCTGATGTTGTACTTTCTGATTCTTTTTAGCTAACTGAGCAGGAACCTAAGGATTAGTTTATGGATAATGTGAGATATTGTTTGGAGCTGATTTTAGGGTTGTTGAAATTGAAACTTTAGTGGTATGAATAAATCTAGCTCCCTTTGATGAAATTGGCTGAAATGGTTGACAGGAAAATGTAAGAACTTTTTGGGTAATATGTTTAAATAGGCTGAATTGGCTGAAATTCTCTAAAATTGATGAATTTTTGGCGGAAGAAGCTGAGTTGTGAGGCAGAAGCAGCTGAGTTGTGAAAAAATTATATTTAAAATATATTTTAGTAATAAGAAGGAAAAAGATATGGAAGTATAACTAAAATAGTTGTCTTCAATCATTTTAGCTAATTCAGCTAAAAAAGTAACTTCAACCTTACTTATTTTTATTACTCTCTCCGTCCCCCTAACTTTGTTCTGTTTTACCTTTTTCGTCTGTCCCATTAAGTTTGTCTCATATAATATTTGGGTGGTTATCATTTATTCTTACTTTATTCAAACTTTATCAATTCAATATCAACGACACAACTCCACGTTTTCTTAAAATTTGTGTCACACTCCTTTGTCCCATATAGTGGGACGGAGTTAGTATTACATAATTCAGCCTATATAATCAAAAGGTACGTGTTTAGTCAAAAAGTCGGTTGTCAAACACTCTTTCCGTAAAAGAGTGAAGGAGATAGGGGAGATAGGCGTGAATCCACAAAAGAGTGTTTATTAGATCACTTGAGGGCACTTTGGTTGAAGAAGTCATAATTGGGCTGAATTGATATACTAGAAACATTAGGTTTTCAACTCCTCTATTTTTTCCTCGGTTCAACCAGCTTCAACCTTCATCTAAGCAGCTCTAAAGCTCATAAATTATTGAGTTTAGATTATTTCAATCTGAAATAAAATAAACCTTTTTTATGAAACATTCACTTTTTAACCGATAACTAAATCTATCAGACAATGTAATTTAGAGCTGTTCGGTCCAAAGTGGGGTGACCTTCCTGCTGAGCATATACGAATTAACCGATAGCTCTAGATTCTTCTGCACACTGGATAAGATTATAGTTTAATCCTTCATGCGTTTTTCTCATATTGTAGCCCATATTATATGTTCAACTTTAGTTCTTTGCTTTGAACATGAGTTTCATTTGATATATGCATCTTTTTCAGCTTGAAGTCTCCCAATGTGCTTCTAAACACACATTCTTTAGCTTAGTTCTCCCTGCGTAATTGGTGGGAAAAAGGAACTTTGCCATCCACTTGAATAACTGGACAGATCCATTAATTATGGGGAGCAGTGAGGATGTGAAATCTCCTAAGCCCGAAAAGTCTTTTCTGTCCCCACAGGTGAGCAAAAAAATACATATGGAAAAATCATATTTGTTGGAATTATGAAAGTTACATAGCACCACTTATGTATCTAACATTTTTCTCCTTCAACTCAATCACCCTTGCAAGAACCAAATTAACTTGACTACTAATGTCTATGTGAGAATGTCAATCATATGCATTTTCCGTGTATTTTGCTTTTTCTCTAATTTTGTTTAACTAATGACAGGACCACGGTAACGCTCCCATGTATCTTGATTGGGCAGCATTACAGGTATATGACCAGGCTAAACACATTGCATATTCTTACCACTTTGTTGTTTTAGTGATTGTAGCAAGTAACGTGATAGTTATCTGCAGGCTTATTATGGGCCTCAAGTTGCCTTACCTCCATATTTTAACCCAGCGGTCCCACCTGGTCACCCGCCTCACCCATACATGTGGGGCGCACCGCAGGTATTTAAGCAAATTTATCGAGTGCGGCAATTTTTCGGAGTAGGTGTCACACCCATACAAGATAAATGAATGAACCTCTTTATGCTTGTTGGACCATCGTTGTCCCTCAAGAGTTCTTTTAAGTTGGAATTATGACCGAACCATGAAAATATATTGTCTTGTGACAAAAAGAGTTTGTGTGCACGATGAATTTAATATTGATGTATAATTGCTGTAGACTATGATGTCACCGGCTTATGGGGCGCCATATGCAACAATTTATGCTCATGGTGGAGTTTATGCACACACTGGAGTTCCAATTGTAAGTATGCACTTCCCAATTGTGAGTATGCATTTCTGGTCTGAGTCCCACATATAAACATTTAAGAGAGACATATTACACATAGGTTTGTCATACCTTATGTTTCAATAATGAGTTTGAACATGTACATTTTGAATTTATCGCCCGATTGAGCATCCCCACCCATTTTTTTTCAATATGTAATCTTAATATTGATATGTTGGCCAATTGATTCTGTTATCCTTCATCTCTAGGGATCACATGCACCTGGTCATGACATTCCTACATCTGGAGCTGTTAATGAAGCAACTGTAAATATTATTTTCAAGTTTATTATTACATGGTGTAGTTTTTTTTAGAAACAGACTAGTGCTGTGCTTAGCGTTTACCTGACTGTAATTTTCATTTTGTGCGGTATCATTTAGGCTGCTACTTCTACTGATTTGGATAAATCTGGTAAGTCTTCTGGAAATGAAGACCGGGGTTTGATCAGTAAACTGAAAGGGTTTGATGGGCTTGCAATGTCTATTGGAAATAGCAATGCAGACAGTGGAAGGGGAGGAACTGACCATCCAAATTCCCAGAGGTTTGTGAATTAAATCCATTGGTGGCTCGGTATTTTTTCGTGTATTTTTCTCGGCCCATCAATTCGAACTAATGTTTGTAATTGTTTGCAATCAATAGCATGGAAACTGATGGGTCCAGCGATGGAAGTAATGCAGCTATGGTCAGTGGTTTTCCATGATTTTGGTGGAAATTAGTTACATGGCGGGAAGAAATCATAATTATTTATTTCATATCCCCTAACAACGTAGTACTGGTGAGAAAAAGTTAATTTTCAATCTTTTTCCGCAGGTATGTGAAAATTCAAAGAAAGGAAGTAGGGAGACAACTCCAACTAAAGGTATGAGTTAACAACTTGTTTAGCTGATTCTAGAACTTACTGCATTAGTAACTTTATGTAATTGATCCTCAAACTTCCTAACAGCTGATAAGACCATTAAGAGCTATCCAACTCTCGCTCGAGGACTCAATGGACCATCCAAGAAAGTAACAACTGTTGCTGTGACTCCTAGCGTAAATATTAATAATGTCAGCCCAACTAATGTTCCACAACTTGGCCCTGCCATGCCCAATGAAACTTGGACTCAGGTATGATACTTTTGTGAGCCAAATGGATCCTTTGTGTGTTGATCTTTACAAAATGGAAAATCGTTGCACTTTTTGTCCCATGGCTATTAGTCATTCTCACTTTGGGCTCCAACTTTTAACATTTCTAATTTTTGGTCATTCCGAGACATATCCAACCAACTTATTGCTTTTCGCCTCCTTAGGACAGGAAAAGACTAAACATGGAAATAGATTTGTTACCATGCGCACCAAAGTGGAATGAATGGAAGGCGGAGACCAGAAGAGGGAATGACCTAATAGTCTTGGGACCAAAGAGAGAAAATACTTTTTTTATAGTAACAGATATTTCAAATTGTTTTCCTTTTGGTTTCTGGTATAAGGTATACCGATATCATTTCTGATTTTTATTACTTATATATGTTATGCATCAGAATGAGCGTGACTTGAAGCGTGAGAAGAGGAAACAGTCTAACCGCGAATCTGCTAGGAGATCAAGATTGAGAAAACAGGTAATTTTTATTATTCTGGGGCAGTCCCCAAGTTACAACAATAATTCTCCAACTCACTTTACATGGATTAATTCAATTCAGGCAGAGACTGAAGAGTTAGCTAAGCGTGTCCAATTACTAACTGCTGAGAACGTAAACCTTAAATCCGAGATAAACAAATTAATGGAGAACTCAGAGAAGCTGAAGCTTGAAAATATGTCTCTCATGGTACATGTTTATTTTGTTATTTCAATGGTACTAATTTCTTTTGACCCTTATCCATATCTGGAGTAGGTGGCACGTTCTCTGTGAAAGTGACATTTTGTTCTTCCACTCATTGCGATACAGCAGATGAAGTCTCTTGGTTGTTGGCATACCTCATTTTAGTCCTTGAATTATCACCAAAGTGGTAGTTTGTATCCCTCATCCAATAAAATAAAAGAAATTATGGAAATGTACAACTCAGGCCGTGAGCCAAAAATGTTGTGTCATTGTTATGTCTTAAAAATTACTGAGTCATTTAGTTCTTAAAGTAGAATATAAGTAGTTAATAACTCTTCTTATAAGAGGTGGATTAGTTGGAAAAACAATGATAGCCCTATTTTAAGAAATGTGTACTTGCACATATTGTTAGTGCATAAAAATGAAAGAATGAAAGTTAGTGAATAATGTAGAATACACAAAGAGAAAGGGGCAGATAAAACAACATCATCATGCAAGTGTTAGTCCCAATAGAGTTTGGGGTTAGTAATAAAGAGATCAATCCTCCACACGTAAGGGTAGATATTAAATAACAAAAAATAGAAAAAATATGAAAAGTAGAAAAGAGAACATGAAAGTGAGATAGAAGTTGACAGACGGAAATGGATAGCATTAGAAATCTTAAAAAAAGTAGGAAGCAACTAAAAAGAAACACATGCGGAGTTTTAGATTTGCCCAATAATATCAGCAGTTAGGAAGTGATAGATGCCCTTTATTTAAAGAAGATACTAAAGCTACCATTTTAATAACAATTACGAGTAATAGATGCCACAGGAGGGACTTGCAATCACCCACTTATCGCTAATAGTTGAAGGACTAAAAGCGATCACACCAACAAATGAGGGCTAAGTTCACTGTATCACGACAACTGGAGTAAAACGCAATTTTCCCCAATATCTTTTTGCACCCATCACATTTAAGATCAAAAGGTTGTTTTCAAATTGCAGGAGAGACTGAAATGTGAGGAACTGGGGAAAATGGAAGAAGAGATAAGTTTAGGTAGGGTTGATGATAAGGGGGTGCAACCAGTGACTACAGCCAACTTACTTGCACGGGTGGATGACAACTCAGACTGTGCAGATAAAAATGGCGAGGAAGGCGAAACATATGAGAGAAGTGGGAGCAACTCAAGAACAAAGCTCCATCAGCTCCTTGATGCAAGTCCCATAACTGATGCTGTGGCAGCTAGGTGATTAATTACGCCGCCCGCATTTGTGTTGAGGATAATCATGTGGTTTTGGCATATTAATCAGTCCAAAATTACTGCTAACTGTTAGAAAAAAGTACACACACCACCTAATTGTGATCTGTAATATTAAAATTTGGCAGACTACGACTTGATACTTTTTTTTGGCTCTCCCTACTGTCTTACAGTTCCATTTCATACTACTCATGGCCGGTAGTGTCTGCATGGGCATGGGATTGGACTGGTTCAATCTCATGCTAAAGCAGGCGCTATGGGTAACATGAAATGAACCGGGCCATGATATGAGTATGTATTCGTATTGTCTTATATAAAATTGTATTGGAAGTTTTAAGTTTCAGCCATGTATGTGTGAGAGAAGGGTACAAATTGTGGAACTCTTAGTTGAAATACTAATGTTTCATATAGTAGTATTAGTTAAGAATTGTATATGGCTTCTTAATATTTTACTCTGATAGTTATGAATTATTTAATTTGGGTGGCAAATCCGAAGATTGCCATAGTGACTAGTGAGTTGATTGGTAAACAAAAAGCGCCCACCCTTATCCAGTTATCCCCACCCCTCAAGCCCCCTAAGGCCCTAAGATCTTCTAAGGGTCCTATGAGTCATTGGAGAAGGCTCCCCCCTCCCCCCCCAAATAGCCGTTGGGGGCTGGCAGTGGACCGGGTCTGACCGGTTCTGGTCCCTAATATTTAAATCCGGGATTGGTGGTGCCGGTCTTCTACCCGAGTCGTGTTTTTTGCTTTCGGTCACCGGTAGCAGCCAGTTTTGTCACAGGTCCAGAACAATGGACCGTGTCTAATGTCTATCACTAGCTCAAAGTAGTTGGGAAACGTCTTCATTAACTCTCATTCAACGTTAATTCTTAGTTCCAAATCATAAACAAAAATCAGAATGACACGCCCATTTATTGGCTCCTATAGTCCCAGCCTCCTAGGTATGAGACCTGAAGAACACCTCATTGAATATGTTTTTTAGGAAGTTAGTCACATGATTCATAAGGGAATTAAAGACATGCTGAACCCACAATTGAGTAGCCCCAACGTTCTCAGATTAATGATTGGTAGCTTTGGAATGGTGACACTAGGGTAACAGAAGTGATTGGTAGCTTTGGAATGGTGACACTAGGGTAACAGAAGTGACAAAATCTACTGGTACTATATTTTGACTTACTTTGACGAAATCTACTTATTCTGACGAATTAATCCTACTTTTGGTCCTATGAGTTTGATATCAATTCTACATTTAGTGCACGTCTTTCGATTTATGCACTTTTGATAATTGGCTAATGTTTTTTATCATTTGCAATACTCGTAGGACTAAAAGTGGAATTTACTCGTAGTTAGACGTTAGTGGGTACAATTTTAGAACAAGCGGAGGGCTTTCATGATTCATCCTTTGATTCTTTTCCGCCAACTCAATCGGTATAAGAATAAAAATATAGTGAGAGCAAATTACTAGCACGAGGAAGTTCACTTTCAAGATTTCCAATAGTGTAGAACACGCTTCATAACTTTAAAATGATATTTGTCAAAGCATGCAAACTTCCCGGCAGGGGAGGATCTATGCACGGGTTATGGTAGGCAGAAGCCCATGACAACTTAAAAAAATTTCAATTTTTTAGTGTAAATTTTTTCATTTTTCACGTTTAGCCCACCCATCTAATATTCAAACCTATTATAATTTCTATTCAGTTCAGGGTATCTCAAATTCCTGGATCCGTCAGTTCTCCGTAACCAATTTTTTTCTTCGATATTAGTATTATTACTAGTATGTTTAGTATTAAGATTAGCTTTATGTTTTTTAAATTCTTATACTCCGTATGTTTTACTACGTAATAAACAATTTTATGCTTTCTATGCTTTCTCCGTAGTAATTTTCTATTAATTTCTATCGAAAGTTGGAATTGAAGTTTTTTAATTAGTTAAGACTTTAGAGCATCTGTAACACCGTCCCCAAATATATTTACTTTTATGTAAATAATGTATTGAACCTTATTAAAGGATTGATGAATTTACGAAGTTGTAAATTTTTATTATTTCTTTCGCGTGAATAGTAAGTTGCACGTGGGACCCACACCGGGAGCGGGGGCCGCCCGATATCCCCGAGATCACATAAATTATCATTATGGGTCGAAATAATATTTATATGGTGGTGGACATCTTATTTGGCCATGGGAAGGCCTGGGGTTGACCGATTGGTCAAAAGAAGCCCAATTACCGGTACCGACAATTAAACAGATAACAGCCCGAAAATGAATTTCGGAGACTTCCAAATTAAAGTTTTGGAATATATATTATTTCAAAGGGGAGTTATGATGGGGAACACATAATATATTTTATTTTACCCGATAAAATAAATTATGATTAAAACAGTCCGAAAAATACAACTTTCGGGACCGATTGTACACACCGGGACACAAAGGGATGACCTCCCACATGAGTGGGGGCCACCCCACGTTTTTTTGTGCTGTAACAACAAGGAAGGGCCTAGGTTGACAAAGGATTGAGTGGAGGAAGGTGCAAGGGGGCCCTTTGACCTCACTCATTTGCCAAAGGAGACAAAAAGGACACCCCAACCTCTCCCCTATGCATTATTTCGGCCTAGCTACCAAAGGAGGAGGAAGAAGAAGCTCTCCAACCTTTCTCCATTGCTGCAACTCGAGCTCAAGCAAGAGAGGTCCAAAGAGTGGGATTAAAGAAGGAAAAAGGCTAGGAAAAGTGTGTAAATTAAGGTAATGACCTCATTATAACTTTTCCTTCATTTTTCTCCTACCATATGAGATATATATCATGTGAAGAATCCTTAAGAGGGTTCTACATGTTATAAGTATGGATTTATGGGTTGGGAAGTGATTCCATGTCCAAGAACGGTCTTAGAAGCCAAAACGACCGGTTCACCGGAAAATAACCTTTTTGAGGTTATTTGTATTAATATGGGTTTTATGATTATAAAACCTTGTTAGGAACTTGTGAAAGGTATTTCAAGTGATTTCACAAAGTTGGAAAAGTCGCCGGAGTTGTCGCCGGAGTTGACCGAAAGTCGCCGGAGTTTCACCGGAGTTCAACCAAGAGGGGTAGAACTTCATAACGCTAGTTCAAGGTGAGTGGACGGCTTAATATCTTATAACTTTTGGGTTAATTATGAGATTACCTAAATAAATGTTATATGAGTTCATAATAATGTTTAAAAGATATTTAAACATGTGATTAGCCAATAGGGTTAAGTTTGTATGAAAGAAATTAATTGTTGATGCATGGAATATGATATGAAGAAATATATGAAATGCATATTTGCTTGAAGTGTATTAGAAGCACAAATGAATATTATTAACTTAATTATATGATGATTAAGTTGATACACACAAGGCATGAAATGGCGGTCAACGAAAACGTGGACCGAAGAACAAAGGATTTAGTTAATACCGGTTGGTATTAACTAAATATAAATCTATATACATGCATGGTTTTGCATGGGTTGTGATACATAAGAATTTATGTATTGGATTAGTTATGAGTAACTAAGTATGATATAGACTCTATCTAGGTTGATAGGAGGTTGATAATAGGAAAACTTGGTGGAGGACCCTAGTACTTAAAAAGTACTTAACACTCAAACTTGGTGGAGGACCCTAGTACTTAAAAAGTACTTAACACTCAAACTTGGTGGAGGACCCTAGTACTTAAAAAGTACTTAACACTCAAACTTGGTGGAGGACCCTAGTACTTAAAAAGTACTTAACACTCAAAACTTGGTGGAGGACCCTAGTACTTAAAAAGTACTTAACACTCAAACTTGGTGGAGGACCCTAGTACTTAAAAGTACTTAACACTCAAAACTTGGTGGAGGACCCTAGGACTTATGAGGCCTTAACACTCACAAACCGGTGGAGTATCCGAGGATTTTGATCCTAAAACTCATAAATTAGGATATACAAATAGGGCCAAGGAGGAGTCCTATACACTCATAGGTATATGGGTGGGTTGGGGTTTTTAGTCAAGAATATTGACTATTACTATTTTCCCGAATAAAATGGTGATCTACGGATCGGATATTTTTCAAGTATACATATACTAATAAGTATTCCATAACTTGGGGGAAAGATTATTTATTTAAGTATCACCCTATGTTTGGGTCTTATACTTGAAACGCTAGTTATTCTATATTTAGCCTGCTACTCGCTCGGTACTTGTACTGACCCCTTCGGGGGGCCCCACCATTTTCAGGTTGAAGCTAGGGCTTGCTACTTGCACCTTCTCACGGGTGATATCAAATCAGGAAGACGTGGTTCGTGCTTCCTTATTTTCTTTCAAACTACCGAACACTTGCTCATGGGTATTTGTTTTACTATAAACATTTTTTTTGGGCTTGCATGCCCATGTTGTTGGCCGGTTGTGGCTCATGACTTACCGTTGAATATTTCCGCTATTCATTGGTTTAAATGTGATGTTGTTATGTATGTTTACTACTGAGTATGGATGAATTGTTTTCTCGAACGCCTTGTGTAATTAAGTGAGGTTGACTCGTGGGTGACGTCACTTAGTTATACGGCGGTTGTACACGCGCTTGGATCGCGGTCTGGGGCGTGACAATTAAGTGGTATCAGAGCCATCTCAGTTCTAAACTATATAATCAACCTCTCACAAAAGATTTTACAAAAGAGTTTCTACCGAAAACCATGAGCATTGTATTTTGACGTTTATAGGACTATTGGTGCTTAAGTTGCAAGGCCTCTAATTGTTAAGATGGTACCCTTAACAATTGGTATGGTAGTGACTTGGGCCAATATGTGTCTGTAACGTTCTTCCGTCAATTGACATTTATAGGAGTCTAATGACTCATCCATATTTCTTTCAGAAATGGAGGGCAGGCGAATGCGGACCAGGAACAACCCGAGAGGGCAAGCGCCGGTAACATCCCAAAGGGGAAGCCGGGCTGCATCTCGGGGTTCAAGAGGAGGCCGTGGAGGCCGTGGAAGCCGTGGAGGTCATCAAGCTCAAACTGTGAGTGATGGCCATGTGAGCTCGGTGTATGAGACCAACACCGAAGACTACGACTCAACCTACGTGCCAGAGACGGAGCATGAAGAGACCCCGTATGATGGGGGTGACACGTACACCGATGATGATGATGAAGAGAGTGATGCCAAGTTCGCCCAAATGGGCGAATTGCTTGAATGGTATCAAAAAGAAAAATTGAGGAGGGACCTTAGGCGCCAAGCGAGGCGTGGCTCTCGCGGTGGTTCGGGTCAAGGAAGCCGGGGAGCTTCCGTGGCCACCCCAGTGGCGTCACAAGGTGGGCGTGAAGGAGGTTTTGTCGTGAGAATCTCCAAGTACCTCAAGGAGGCTAGGGCCTTGGGGTGTAGGTCCTTTGACGGCACCGGTGACATTACCGTTGCCGCCGATTGGATCAAGAAGGTGAAGGATGCATCAAGGGACATGCAAATCACACCGGACGTGAAGTTGACTGTCGCTTCAC